CCTCTGGAAGAGCAGTCGGTGCTCTTAACCTCTGAGCCATCTCTCCAGCACCCCCCCATGTTTTAATTTTTTGAGACAGGATTTCAGCATAGCACAAGCTGGCCCATGAACTCCCGAACTTCCTGATTTCACCTCTAAAGTGTTGGGAAGAAGGAGAGAACTAACACCTGAGAGTTGTCCTCAGAGTTGCCAAGGTGTGAGAGTACCCACCCACACAATTAATTAATCTCAATTAATTAATTTAAAAAATTAAGGTGGAATGATTGAGGAAAACACAAAATCCCTTAATCTGGTTATAGTAGGTTATACCTATAGTATCACCAGAGAAGAGGCTTAGGCGAGGGACTGCTGCAAGCTCAAGACATGTCTAGTTCACATACGACTTCTATACCAGAGACTCCATATCCCTCAAAAAAAAGTGGTGGTGAGGGGGTGTTGTAGGGGAGTCTGAGAAATATAGCTGAGTGGTAAGGGTACTCAATCAGTATACCCAAGGCCTTAATTTCAACCTAGTACCACCTGAACAAATGAATAAATACAAGTAAGAAAAGATAAGGCACCCTGGCCCCTGATAGAGTTGGTCAGTTATTTTCTATCACACTACTATAGTTTTTGTTTGTTTTTTTTTGTTTTCGAGACAGGGTTTCCTCTTTGTAGCTTTGCAGCCTGTCCTGGAACTCACTCTATAGATCAGGCTGGCCTCGAACTCACAGAGATCCTCCTGCTTCTGCCTCCCCAGTGCTGGGATTAAAGGTGTGCGACACCACCACCCAGACACACTACTGTAATTTTTAAACTTCCTCTTTGCCACACCAAATCTTCTGAAAGGAGAGCAACCTTACCAGACACTGCCATAGTATCGTTGATCCATGCAATGGAAAAGATCCAGTCCTTGTGTCCATCCTTAGAGGGGTAAGTGACATGTACAGAGAGGAAAACACAAAAACAACAAAAAAAGATTAGTAAAATAAGGATCATAATGATTTCTGAAAAGCATAGAGGTCTGACTGAAAACATCTTGTAAAAAAATTAAGTATGAAAGGTTAAATGGTTACACATGCTTACAATTTAGGAGGTTCAGACAGAGGATCCCAAATTCCAGGACAGCATGAGCTACATATGGACACTCTGCCACAAAACAAAACAGGGCCAGCAAAATAGCTCAGCAAATAAAGGGGCTGCCAAGTCTGATGACCTAAGCTCAGCAAGTAAAGGGGCTGGCTGCCAAGTCTGATGACCTAAGTTTGATCCCCAAAAAACCCACACAAAGGAAGGAGAGTACTGCATAATTTTTCAGTGTCCTCTGACTCTACATGTACACCAACATATGTACCCATACACACATACAAGTAAATGTAAAATAACAACAAGCATACAAAAGCGTGGTCTCTGATGATCTTAACCTGTAGGGTAAGATCTAATACATCTGGGAGAATCAAAGGTAGAATAAAACTGGCACTCCTGCAGACAATAAGAATTCCAAAAAGGGGTACACACTTTTAATGCTAACACTGGGGAAGTAGTGGCAGGAGGATTCCAGTGAGTTAGAGGCCAGCCTGGTATACAAAAGGAGCTCCAGGATAGCCAGGACTACATAGAAATCCTGTCGCAAAAAAAAAACAAAACCCAAAAACAAACAAATAAAAACCTCAAAGCAACAACGACAACAAAATGACCAGAGGACACAGCTTCCAGATTTCTACCTTCTCTTCTGCCCAGAAAGGAAAGTTCATTCCCATAGCGATGCCCATGTTTCCTTTAAGTCTCCTTGCTCACATGTCTTCTAAATGAAGCTTCCTGACTCCCCCTGAAACAGCATCTTTCCCTTTACTCTCCATCCCCTTTAGCCTGCTTGCTACTCCTCTATGGTGTACGTCACACTGACATGCTACTGACTTGTATGATACACATAATTGGCTCATAGGTCACACTCAGCACTATATTAAAGGCAAGGGCTTATTAATTTTATTCATTGCCATGCTCCTGGAGCCAAAAACAATGCCTGACTATAGATGAATTGATAAGTTTATTTTCTGACAGGGCAATAGGAGATACATGGACCCTGTGAACTGAAAAACAGCCCACTATTAGCCACAGAGATGTGCCATCTGTCCCTTCTATCAAACACAAGTCTCTGGTTCTTACCTATGGCATCCCAATCTCCACTCTGCTCTCTCTTCTACTCCTCACCCTCATGTGAGAAGAAATCTAGAGAAAACCACCCCTTTCTAGGTTAGGAGAGCATCCATGTTTTAAAACAAGGTTAGTTCTCACAAAGACCAATGGAAAAACTTACATCACCCACACACACAGGATCTAATGTAGGCAGCCGATAGATGGCGAGGCTGTTTGGGTTGTCTCCTCCAGTGGCTAGGAGTGTTCTAGAAGGATTCAGCTCTATTGCATGGATACCACAACCCTGCTGAGACACACCTCCAGGTTCGCGGTCTTTCAGAATGGGAATCTTGGTGATCTGGCCTGTCTGGACATCCACTACAAAGAGCTGCAAGAGAAAGACAACACAAAACATTGTTGCTACTTAATGTGGTCAACAATGAGTACAAACACCCATTTGTTCAATTATCTGTGGAACGTTTAATTAGTCTACTATATAGCAGACCCTGGGAATTTTCATTGTTGTTTTCTGTTTTGAAACAAGGTCTCACTTTGGTGAGCCTGGAACAGGTTGGCCTCCAATTAACAGAGATCTGTCTTCCTCTGCTTCCCAAGTACATATACCACTATGTCTAGCATTCATTTATTTTGGGGAAAAGGTTTCACAGTGTAGCCCTTAGTGGCCTGGAACTCACTGAGACCAATCTGGCCCTGAGGCTCACATGGATTCACCTCTGCTGAGATTAAAGGTGTGCACTGCCAAACCCAGCAGGACTCTTGGAATTATTAATGGCATGGCTAAGGCCATTAGTCAAAGGAACATGAAGTAACTTAAAATGACTTAAGATTAAAGCTTAACATTTTATTCCAACAGATTAGAAACAGATTCTGTCTGTGGTCAAACCACTATGAATTTGCCCAATCTGCTCTGATCTCATAAACTAAGCAGGGTAGGACTGGTTAGTACTTGGATGGGAGACCACCTTAGTAATACCAGGTGCTGTAGACTTAAAAAGAAAGGAAGGAAGGAAGGAAGGAAGGAAGGAAGGAAGGAAGGAAGGAAGGAAGGAAGGAAGAAAGAAAGAAAAAGAATTAAATTTTGTTCAAGCTTAACATGGGATTAATTCTCTCCTACTCTGGGGGGTTCAGCCCAGTGCTACTGGTCCACATCTTTAATTCCAGCATTCATGATGCAGAGGCAAGTTGATCTCTGTAGGCCAGCCTGATCTACAGAGCAGGTTCCCA